TTTCGGGGCAGCCTTGTCAGCCCATGGGATTTGCATTGTTGGCAAGACAAGAGAAACTGACATTCATTTTTAGGTACAATGTACATACTCTGTGACATACAAGCTGAATTGATCATTGCAAAGTATTTAGGTACATAATCCTATTATTGCCAGTCTAGGCTTAGTGCCTAATTCCCTTTATGGAAACACTTTGAAATTCACTTGGACTCTAATTTAAAATGTTCAGGTTTTGTTGTTTTGAAATTATACATTCTCTTCAGTCATGTTCAATAGGCTAAAGCCTGTGGGATTCTGAGTCAGGTTTTTACATGGAGTATGCCTCTATTCTTCAGCTTTCTCAAATGAGGCCATATTTTTAATTCAGTTAGAGCTGAATTCTGCCAACATTGGCTGTACACAGTCAATCATTCCTCTTTGTGAGACAAAAGGAATCAGACTGGGAATTCTTCGTTATGAGATTCAGGTTTTTTCACCCCGTGCTGTGAATGTGGCCTTGTCAGATTTTTTCCTTTCATTGAACATAAGAACATAAGAGATGCCAATGTTGGATCAGGCCAAAGGCCCATCCAGTCCAACACTCTGTATCACACAGTGACCAGAAATACCAGTGCCATCAGGAGGTCCACCAGTGGGGCCAGGACATTAGAAGCCATCCCACTGTTGACCCCCCAAAGCACCAAGATGACAGAGCATCACTTGCCCCAGAGTCCCTATCTATACCTTGTGGCTAATAGCCACTGATGGACCTCTGCTCCATATGCCTATCTAATTCCCTTTTGAAGCCGTCCATGCTTGTAGCCGCCACCACTTCCTGTGGCAGTGAATTCCAAGTGTTAATCACTCTTTGGGTGAAGAAGTACTTTCTTTTATCCGTTCTAACCCGACCGCTCTGCAATTTCATGGAGTGCCCACGAGTTCTTGTATTGTGAGAGAGGGAGAAAAGTACCTCTTTCTCTACCTGCTCTTTCCCATGCATAATCTTATAAACCTCAATCATGTCACCCCTCAGTCGTCGTTTCTCCAAGCTAAAGAGCCGTAAGCGCCTTAACCTTTCCTCATAGGGAAAGTGTTCCAACCCCTTTATCATTCGAGTTGCCCTTTTCTGCACTTTTTCCAAAGCTATAATATCCTTTTTAAGGTGTGGTGCCCAGAATTGCACACAGTATTCCAGATGAGGTCGCACCATTGATTTATATAGCGGCATTATGATATTGGCTGATCTGTTTACAATACCCTTCCTAATAATCCCCAGCATAGCATTGGCCTTCTTTATTGCAGTCACACACTGTCTCGACAATTTCAGTGAGTTATCTACTACAACGCCAAGATCTCTCTCTTGATCAGTCTCTGCCAGTTCAGACCCCATCAACGTGTATTTATATTTAGGATTTTTGGCTCCAATGTGCATTGCCTTGCACTTGGCCACATTGAACCCCATTTGCCATGTTGACGCCCACTCGCCCATCTTTGACAGATCCTTTTGGAGTGCCTCACAGTCCTCACTGGTTTTCACCACCCTGAACAACTTCGTATCATCCCCAAATTTAGCCACTTCACTGCTTACTCCCAACTCCAAATCATTAATGGACAAGTTAAAAAGCAGTGGACCAAGTACTGATCCCTGCGGTACCCCACTGCTTACCCCCCTCCACTGAGAGAACTGCCCATTTATACTCACTCTCTGTTTTCTATTAATTAGCCAGTTTTTTATCCATAAAAGGACTTGTCCTATTATCCCATGATTTTTGAGCTTACTTAGGAGCCTTTGATGAGGAACTTTATCAAAAGCTTTCTGGAAGTCAAGGTAAACAATATCTATTGGATCCCCCTTGTCCACATGTTTGTTCACCCCCTCAAAAAACATTAACAGGTTAGTGAGTTAGTGCTTTCTGATATGGTTCCTGTTCCCAAGAATTTCTCAACATGTACCCCAAAACACAGACAAGGGTCTCTTAAATCTTTCCCCCTTCACTGTGAACAGGAACAAGACCGATTGCTTGCTCTGTACCTCAGCTAATCACTTCCATTTGCCTATGTTTTGATTTCTTCCTAGGATGCAGCAACTGAGGGGAAATTCTGTCCAAGATTCATTCTAGGAGGAGTGGGGTAAACATCCATTGCTTAGAACATGTTTCCTGTATCTTGTTGACCATGTAGGCACTTTTGGAATTTTGTGAAAAGGTAGTGGCTGCCAACACAAAATGGCTGACAGCAGGGAAGGGATCGGATTGGTTTCCGCTTCCAAAGAAAGGACACTATTTGATCCCTGTGAGACTTTCTTGTGTGTGTTATTTGCTGCCAAGTCTCTTCCCATTTATGGTGACCCTATGAATTAACCACCTCCAAAAATTTTATTGTTAATAGCCTTGCTCACATGTTGCAAACTGAAGGCCATGGCTTCCTTTATTGAATCAACCCATCTCAGATTGGGGCTTCCTCTTTTCCTTCTACCTTCAAGTTTTCCCAGTATGATTGTCTTTTCCAGTGCCTCTTGTTTTCTCATAATGTGACCAAAGTAGGGCTGCCAAGTGAGGGCGGGTGGCGGGTAAACCCCTGCTTTGGAGGCCCGATTTCCGCCGCCGTTGAATCAGGCCCTGGGGAAACTCCCCCCCCGAAGCGCAGCGTGGCTGCGTCACCAGAAGTGACGCAACCACGTTGATCATGTTGGGGGCATGGCCCCGATTGTTGGAGGGAAAACTCTATCCCTCCGACGATCGGGGCCACGCCCTCAATGTAATCGACGTAGCGCGTCACTTACGGTGATGTGCTGGCGGCGCGTGCATGACGAGGGATGGCTCCTGGAGTATCCCCCGCCGGTGAGTAAAATTCACTTGGCAACCCTAGACCAAAGTCCTATAGCCTCAGTTTACTCATTTTAGCTTCTAGGGAGAGGTCAGTTTTGATTTGATCTAAAACCCACTTATTTGGGTTTGGGGGGTTGTGGTTCATGGCAGCCGTAAAACTCTCCTCCAGCATCACATTTCAAGTGAATCACCTTTCTTCCTTTCAGCTTGTTTCAATGTCCAACTTTCACGCTCATACATAGTAGTGGGAATACTGTAGTACAAATTACTTTGATCTTAGTTGCCAGTGACACATCCTTACACTTAAGGGTTGTTTTTGGCTCCGTAATGACCATCCTTCCCAGTCTCAAACTCCTTCTGATTTCTTGATTGCAGTTTCCATTTTGGTTGACGACTGAGGAACAAGGTGCAGGGTTGAGCAGATTTATTAGATCTTCTAGATCCTTATATGTTTCACTCAATGCTTTGTCAGGGGATCTAATACAAAGCAAAATATACAATCAAAAATTCAATTAAAATGTGCATACAAAATAATTATTTAAAATAATTCTTAAAAAATTAAAATTACCTGTAAAATTAATTAGAACACAGTCTAAATAGGCATAGGGTTACCTTACATATTCTCTAGTATGATACAAAAATTACATAGTTCATAACCAAATATTTTTTCCCGCAAAATTTTTTTTATTTCACATATACAAAACAAACATCGGCATACAAACACAAAAACATAAAAGTGGGGGAAATTTCATTATATCATTTTTCCATCGTAAATTTGACCTCATATTAGTACAATTTGGAAATTAGTTTCTCTTATGCACCTTATATTTTAAATAAACATATTTTGTTCATAAATATGCATATGGTTCTTATTTCTTTTAGTTTCGGCTGGCAGTCTAGGCATTAAATGCATTATGTTCATCTATCCAGTTATAGAACCTTGACCATGTGTTCTGAAAATCTTCTTTTTTATTTCCTCTCAACATAAAGTTAGCTTATCCATCTCTGTAGTTTCCAGTATTTTACTTATAACTTCTTCCTTTGAGGGAGTTTCAGTTCTTCTGCAGTATTTGACATATAGTATTCTTGATAACCAAATATTTTTAATACTGAAAAAAGACAAAAGAACTAAAAAGCATTAATGCAAGGTCCATATCAGAAAGACAGGAACATTTTAATTATTAGCTGTAAAACTCTCCTCCAATACTACAAAGAATCACCTCTCTTCCTGTCAGCTTTCTTCAATGTTCAACTTTGTTGTAAGATTTTAATCATCACTTTGTACAAGAAATTAATGCAATGGTCCAATATTTGCTGGAATCTTTGATGTCTCTTTTTTCAGAACTGGAATGTAGATAGAGCATTTCCAGTCTGTGGGCCATTGTCTTGTTTTCCATGTTAGTTGACATAGCCTTATTAAGATTTTGATGGACTCCATTTCTGTGGCTTGGAATAGCTCTATTGATATCCCATATACTCCTGTTGATTTATTTTTCCTCATTGCTTTCATTTCAGCTTTCATTTCACTTTTTAAAATTATAGATTCTTCTTTGAAAGATTCTTCTTAGAAGAAATTTGTCATACCCCCCTCCCAAGAGTTTTCCAAACCCAGAGACATAAGAAAGGCTATGTCTATGGTTAGGTTGAAGGCACATGGCTGCAACACTTCCACTTAGTATGAGCTCAGAGCTTTGCTGGTCAGTCAACTGATGGTTAAAAAATATCCCCAAGATACCAAAAGCAAACAGGTGGCAGGAAATACATTGGTAGTTTCTGAGGCAGCAAACAGACACAACGTTGGAGATCTTTGTATTATAATGTGGGGAGTTCCTTTTAGTTACTTTTGTAAGCTTTCTCCACCCCCCCAGCAAGTTAAAATTAATTCTTTGTGATCTTATTTTCATCCCCTAGAGTTGGCTCAACTAGAGTCAACCACAAAATTATATCTCACATGAAAAGTTTGTTCCACATTTGTGGTAAGGCTACTTTATTTAATGTTATGGTTACCCAAAGATTTCCATTGCTATGTCATGGACTTGATGGTTCTGTCATGATTCAAAGGAAACCCTGCTTCCATCCCACCCATCACAGAATTAGAAAATCTGCAGTGTTTTCAGGAAGAAATTGTTAAAGCTGAATTTTCTCCAAAGCAAGTAAGGATTTTGTGTTTTGTTTGTTTGTTTTTCCTCTCTCCAGATGAAGAGCTATTTTCAGGAATGTATATCGATTTCATGGGGACTGATGCTGCTATTTTTCGTAGTTTAACCAGGCGGAATGCAGTGAGAACTGACCAGCACAACTCCAAATGGCTAAGTGGTAAGGTGGTCATATTTAAATCTTTGATTGGAAAAGATTAATTTTTTTGCACAGTACATTTCTTAAAGAAAGTGTGAGTCAGAAATGAAGAAATGCAATTTATATTAGAAATACAGTACATTTTTTTCTTTGTATAGGTTGCTTAAACAATATGCAGAATATCTGTGACTAGTTCACATGATACCAGTAGTCTGTACATTTAACTTAAGAGT